CAAAAAGCAGTTGTTCACACTCCACTACCTAAGATCCAGTTCAAACTTTTCCTATTATCCTCGCCATGTCTTTGCCCATGAACCCCTGGGGCCTATAGAGTGGAAACAATAACAGTTTGCCTAATTGCTGCCTATTTAGATTAAGCAGATAATAGGCTGCCTGACACCACTCAGTGAGAGATTCACACAAGGTAAATGCTCAAGAAAAGGTATTTTAAACTTCTAGGAATGATCAACGAGAATCAAAATGTTGGCTTTCCAGTTAGGCTTTTTCTTAACTGTGCTGCATTTCAATATCAGATGGGAAAATAAGGGGAACATTTTTGTCTCGTTAATCTGCAGAATGGATGAAATAATTAAAAAGCTCTTCAGAGTACCTATAGCACAATACACCTCTTCAAACCAATAGGACCCATGTAAAAGTGTAGATAACACACCTTCATTGGAAAAATTTTTGCCCATGGATAGTGTAAAGAGACATTAAAGGTGACCTTCTACACGGGGAAAGAAAAAGCATATGAAGTTCCCAGAAGAGAGAAAAAAGCAGCCCACCAAACCTCACTAGTATTGCTCTAACCCCCTCACAACCCAAGGACAGAGACCAAGTCTCAAAGCAGCAGACACAGAAAGGAAATCAATTGGAAGAATAGCACTATTTTCATTCCCTGACCACAGACCAATGAGTCAAAAAAGCAAGCAGAAGAAAGCAACAACAAAAAAATATCCTTTATTACATAGGGAGCAAAAGCTGAAATATTAATGAACTTGAAAGTAGAGATTACCTATGATAAAAAGTACAGATGTGTTGGTAACATTCTGTTGAGCCATGATGGTCTAAAAGATGGGAAGCAAGATTTGCAAGAAGACTTAACATCTTTTATTTAAACATCTGATACAGAAAGAAAAACCAAATAAGCCTTTGGACTCAGAGACTCTTTTGCAGGTCATGGCAAGGGGAAATCTGAAGGGAAAATTAACCACTGTTAAAATAATGAAGCAAATCAGCACCCTGATCTGATATCACCATCCATTTGTGTGAATTCTGTCTGCTGAGTGGCAGTGAACTAAATATTGCTCCACATGGGGCAAGGGAAAAAAGCCAGTGCACCACGGGGCCTAAATTACACAGACCACTTAGCAGTTAAATTCCAGCAATCAGAAACGACTCGCTATTTTATGATGCTGTGGAATACATCTACATTTGACTTCAGTTCACCTTTTCAACATTTTCAGACTTACACATTACTGTACTTGTTTAGTATTCAGAATATTGTGGGCGCTAAGCAACGCCTAGAAGGAAAAATAGATGTATTATTGAAATTATCTATTGAAATAAATGTGATGAAAAGGCAGAAAACCCTTCACTTAGCAGAATATTTGTACCCTAATTTTTATAATCTCTTCCTATTTGGTTCTTACAGTTGTTTAAATATAGACCATGCCAAAGAACTAGAATAAAAGGAAAGATATAAAAAATGTGCTATGAAAAAGGTTTAATTGCTTTCTAAATCCAAAACCTAGCAACATTTTAAGGACTGCTATTAGGCTTCCAAAGACAGACTTCTGCAGCACATGAAGGCAGGAGTG